AATTTCTAAATTATATCCTAAACTCTCTTTATCCAGGCTTTGAAAAGATCTCACTTGTTTTGGACCACGTGAAATCCTTAACTATTATATTAGCTCTATAGCCATGCATATATAAACAAAAAATCTTATGTAATCAAAATGCTCCAGTAACAAATTCATATAATAGGCATTGTATCTGTAAAGAAAATTTGCATTCAAACTCGTTTCAGTTGAACTGATTTTTTAAAAAATATCTTTAAAAAGCTTGCACAGGGAACAGTGCCATAATCACGAGAGAAGTTTGGATTTTCTCTGTATTTATTTCAGCTTATGTCTGCACATTCTCAGCAAAGTGCAGAATTGAGACAATTAACTCAAGCCCCACACTGTAATGCAAAGTAGGTTTTTTATTATTTATCGATGTTTTTGCCCATGTAAGTCATATCTGAATTACTTAAGATTGCATATTCCCATGATGATTTTATTATATAAAATGCCTGAATGTGTTATGTAGTGGGATGAACGTGGGCATTGGGATCCAACAGATCTGAGATTGAATACTAGATCCATTGCTTACCAGTTCTTTACATTTCAATTACTTTATCTAAAAATGGAATTTTTGTGAAGACTGGAGATAATACTTGGAAAATGCCTAGTACAGCGCTTGGTATAAATACTCTAAATCTGTTAGAAGAAATTATACAGAGGGCACAGGAACATATTCCAGGGTGAATTCACATCACATCTTCCCTTTTTGCCCAGCCTAGGGCCCTTAGCCCCTGTAAGGATGTGCCCCCTCTTTCAGGATAATTCTTTATCAGTCATGTCCCAGTAAAGACAATGCTTCCTCCATGGATGAAATGCTGCTGAGTTCTCCCTCTGGACTCGATCTCATAACTTTTTGCCTCTTCTGTGTCTTCTGCCAACACTCTAGTCCTGAAAAATTGGCGTTTCTCTCAATTCCTCTGCATCCAGGCTAACTATGTGAGCCATTAAGTATGAGATTTGCCTTTAAAGGACTTTTTGAAAAACCACGTAGTGAAGTGGAACAAGCATTAACTATTAAGTCAAGAGACCTGGGATCACAAGCACTGTGCCATTAGAAAGATCAGTTTACTTCTCTGGACCTTGGTTGTTCTGTAGAAAGAAGGGCTGAGTTCGGTAGAGTCAGTGAATAGAATCAGTTCTTAAGTGTCCAATGCTACTGCGGGCATGTTAGTATTACAGTATAATCAGCAGGGACTGGAGCTATCAATGAGTAACCAAGAATTCTGCCCGTCCTCTGTAGAATGGTGTGGTGCAGCTACAGTGCCCTTTAGTGTAAAGGTGGAATTGTATTCATCCTTGTTATTAGAATCTTACAAACAAACCCTAACTCTGTGACCCAAGGCTAGGTCCTGAAGTTCCAAATTAATTGTAACTTTCTTTAAAAATGTGCTAGATATTATCTGCCTCATTGGGTTGTCATGAAGATTGAATCAGGTATTATTCATACAGTGCTGGGACACAGCATCTGTTCCTGCTAAGGAGGTCTTTAAATCCAGTAACAGTGCTCAGTCTTCATCTTAACCAACACTACCAGCAGCATGTGACAGTTATCACACTGTCCTCCTTGAAACACATTTTTCATTTGTACTCTCCGACTTCTCCCTCCTTTTCCCCTCCTATCTTCTGGACCGCTCCTTCTTGGTCTCCTTTGCTGGATCTTCCTCATCTTCCTCACCCCTGAATGAGGGCATACATCGGGCTTCTTTATCAGTTTTCACTACTAGATCATCACATTTAGTCTCATAGCTTAAACAGCATCGTTAGACTGATCACTCCAAAATCGACACCTCTGGCAGAGATTCTTTCTATGAAGTCCAGGTTCATATGTGCAGCTGTGCACTTGACATATCTATTTAGTTGATTAATAGGCATATTAACATGTCCCAAACTGAACTTTTCATCTCCACATCACCCCATATGTGGTAAATGGCAAATCTTCTCATTAGTTGTTCAGGCCAAAAATCCTTGTAATTATCCTAAGCTCATCCACATTAACCTGCTAATAAAACCCCTTGGCTTGTTTCTCATATGTATCTAGGATCTGACTACTGATACTTCTCCTTCTGCTGCCTCTCTAGCCCAAGCAACTGTTTTCTCCCACGTAGCCCCCTAACAAATCTCCCTGCCTCCCTTTTATCCCCTCTCCTCACAGCAGCCAGAAAGATCCTTCTGCACCCTAAGCACAATTTCATGTCATTTGTCACCTATTGGGTTTCCCTGGAAGTGGATGGAGGTAGGGTTCTGGCATGCAGGACTTATTTAAGGATTGTCTTTGGTATTGACGTTTGTGGAAATGAAGGGAAGGATCAGGATTGGGCAGACAGAGAAGTCAAGAGGTTATGCATGACCAGTGACAGGCTTGGCCAACTGCATGTTGGACTTTAGAGCTACAGTGCCCTTCAGAGTTGTTTCAGATTGGGAGAGGATGGCCAGACCTTGATGCTTCCTCATCAATCAGTCACAGATATGGTCTATCCTGCAAAAGGCACAACCGAAGGCAAGGCAGCCCTCTGTGGTGGATGCAGACTGGAAAGGGACTGCGTTCCCAGACAACAGGCATTCACTAAAGGGGCATCCGGGCAGCACAACACAGGATCCACCTCTTCTCCACCCGTTTCCCCCAGGGGCTTCCCATGTTACTTGGAATAAAACCAAAGTCTTTTATCATTTTTCTCTTGACCTCATCTTTTCCCTCTCTTCCCTTTACTCACCCCTAGAAGCCACATTAGCCACCTGTTAAGTTTCTTATGTATCTCCATCTCTTTCCTCCCACCAGTACAATTCTGTTTCAGCACTTGCCATTTCTTCCATCTGCAAGGTTCTTCTCCCAGATGGCTGAGAGGGTCTGGCGCTTGAACTTTATTCAAATCTCTGCTCAAATTTCACTTTATCAGAGGGGCCTTCTCTCACTGGCCCATAGCAAATAGCATATTGCCCTTTCACTTTGTTCCCTTATTTCACTCAGTTTTTCTTTTTAGCACTTAAATCATGACCTAACATGGTTATATTTTTATTTATTGTCTGTCCATCTGCTCCCTCCACTTGGATACAAGCTCTATAAAAGAGGAGACTTTTATTTTTTACTCAGTGCTATATCCCCAGTGACTATGACAGTGACTGGTACAAAGCAGATACTCAATATTCATTAGCTATAAGTTTTGGGGAGTTGGGGCACTGTTTCAAAGAAAATAAGAGCTAAGGCATTGGACTAAAACAAATCTAGGTTTTATTTGTAGTTATAAACTTAGGAGCTGTGAAGTATCAGATATATTATTTGCTCTCTCTGCGTCTGAATTTGCTCAGTTATAAAATGTAGATGATTATAATATTATATTTGTAATAGACTTGTTGTGAGATCAAATGGGATAATGTGTAAAGCATCAATTAAGCACCTGATGGATAGCACTGAGAATCTGAAAACTGCCTGCAAGCACAGTTCCTGGCAAGTAGGAAGTGCTCAATAGTTGACAGTTTTTATTGTTGTATGATAAACATGTGGAATACTGTGTGGTTAGAATTGATTTTGATGAACCTGTGATTGTTTAAATGGTGCAAATCATTCTTCCGTTCTTCTTTTTTACCTTGTAGATAGCTTGGGCTTATATTTCACTGTCCAACAGGGAGAAATATGGTTTATTATTTTTTTAAAAAGATTTTATTTATTTGAGAAAGAGAGAGCGAGAGAGCGAGACCGACAGAGGATAGGTAAGAGGGAGAAGCAGACTCCCTGCTGTGCAGCCACGCGGATGTGGGACTTGAACCTGGAACTCCAGGATCATGACCTGAGTCAGAGGCAGTTGACTGACCAACTGAGTCACCCAGGCTCCTGAAATTTGGTTTAATCCTACATCAGAAAACTTCAAAACAACAAAAATTTTGAAATGTAGTGCAACTTCTTCACTTTATACATGTGTAAACATACATTATGTGTAAGACCATTTAAATTGCATTTCAAATGGGGTAAGGAAAATTCCCATTTAATCTTGTGATTTCTTTTGCAAAACAAACCATTCTTTTGTAAACAGAATTATCATTCCGTAACTGATCTGTTTTATAAATGTTTATGTCTGCGTACCCGTTTCTCTGAAACTATGTATGGAAGACTTGAAGAAACGCCTTACAGGGGCGCCTGGGTGGCTCAGTGGGTTAAGCCGCTGCCTTCGGCTCAGGTCATGATCTCAGGGTCCTGGGATCGAGTCCCGCATGGGGCTCTCTGCTCAGCAGGGAGCCTGCTTCCCTCTCTCTCTCTCTCTCTCTGCCTGCCTCTCCATCTACTTGTGATCTCTCTCTGTCAAATAAATAAATAAAATCTTTAAAAAGAAAAAAAAAAAAAAGAAACGCCTTACAATGGTCGTATGTTCACTGCACAAAGGACTCCACTGGTTGCGAAAACAGGCCAAAAGAAAAAATTAAACAGTTCCAAGCTTTCCTCAACCGTATGTAAGAACTCAAAAAAATTAAAACGCATTTTCGTGGATTTAACTCACAAACTCATACAACAAGCATTTACACAATAAACTCTCTTGCTAGAAATGGTAGCAAGAAAACGCATAAGGCTACTTTCGAAATCTACAGCACCCCCACAGGAATTCTATAAGCAACAAACCAAAAAAGCCCCGCGACACAGTACGGTTCACGCTAACACTCGTCCTTACACTAAAAGCAGCAGCTGTACTTCCTTCAACCCGTTTGGTTATGGTCACAAGGTGACGCCAGTCCAACATAGCCAGAAAATGACTGCATTTGAGAGCGAGGAAATACCAGTCGTCTCTCCAATTACGTCTTCTATTTTCCCTTGCATGAATAATAAAGCTAGATTTAAGCATCAACAATAACAAATTCTTTGCAGATTGTTGGAGTCGGTGGAAATAATGCAGATTTTCGGCTGACCGGAAGAAGAAACAGCAGCCAATCGGGGCTCGTTTCTCAATGGCCAATTAAACTTCGCCTTACTTGATCGTGCTGAAGGGAAACGGACCTGGAAGTCTTTGTCTCCGGTGTGTGGCCGCGATCCCTTGGAGGGGATTGAACACCTGAGGCTCTATTTTTTTTAAATCTGAGGGTTAAGGGACAACAGTTCCGGCCTTTTCCAGTCTTGGCTGGATTTGCTTGTATTTTGTTCTTAGCCACTGCTCATGTAATGCACTCCCTTAACCAGGAAATTAAGGCGTTCTCCCGGAATAATCTCAGGAAGCAATGTACCAGGGTGACAACGCTAACTGGAAAGAAAATTATAGAAACATGGAAAGATGCCAGAATTCATGTTGTGGAAGAAGTAGAGCCGAGCAGTGGGGGTAGTTGTGGTTTTGTGCAGGATCTTAGCTTGGACCTGCATATTGGTGTTATTAAGCCATGGTTGCTCCTGGGTGAGTATATCGATTTGGCATTAACTAATTGATTCCTTTTAGCCACATTACTTTCTCGTTTTTTTGTCCCCCCCCCCCCCAAATGTGTAATATTCTGTTCTATCAGCTATTCTGCTGAAAAGCTGAATTAGATTTGGAACTTCCATTAGCTGGCTAGTGATGTTTCTGCCCCACAATATATCCATAAGAAGCATGGATTCTAGTACCACATGGCACCTGGCATATGGATTTTAGAACTAATTATCCTTTTTTTTTTTTTAACTTTTCTGGAGGATAGCTTGTTAATGTTGTATTTTCTTGGATTATAAATGGATATAGCCTTTAAAATCATCAAATTAGAAAGAATGCTTTTATTAGGCAAAACTGTAAATAGCAAGGGTTAAGGGTATAGAAAAGTTAGTACTTGAAATTGCCAAATGTTTGCTGCCTCTGCTGTTACAAATCATGGAATGCCTGCCTCCTATACCCACCTCTATCGAAGTACCTGCTTTTGTAGTGTTAAGGAGAAATTGTATTTTCATTTCATAGCTATGAATTTGATAGTTTTATGATTTCTTGTATTAGGAAGAATATTGTTTCCCTACATAAAGCACGGTTGGCAAATAGTAAATGAAGCAGTTATGAAAAGCTCAAACTTGTTAGCTTGGCAAGAATGTGGCATGGCATTCTTTAAAAAAAAAAATTAGTGTGTTCAAGAGGATTTGAATTATTTTTCATTTGTGAATAGAGAAATTAAGACTTGGAAAGATTAATGATTTGCCAGTATTTATGCAGTCAAGCCATTCTTGAGTAGAAAGAACACTGAACTGGGAGTCAGAAATATCCAGGTCCTGCTGTGAAGTGCACAGTAGCATCTCCTTTTAAAAAACTCTCCGAAGTAGAGATTATCAGCTCCATTTCACAGATGGGACCTGAATTTAACAATAGTCAAATAATTTGCTCAAGGTAACACACCTAGTAAATAACAGAGCTGGACATCAAGCTCAAGTCTGATCCACTCCTGCTCTGCATTGTCATTTAGACTTCCTCAGGGAGTCCAGGTTTTCAGTCCTGCTCTACCTCTTGGTAGATAAACTAGCACAAGTCATTTGTTCACTCTGGTCCTCCAAGAAACCACCTGTAAAACTAAAGTAAAGGTATCTGTTTCTCTCTTAGGTTTATCCTGAGGTTGTGAAAAGTTTTTGAAACAAATTAATTGCAAGTATGCATATGAGGTTTTTATTGTATTATGTTTTACATGAATCACTACATGAGCTATCTTTCACTTCAAATAAATATTTCCGACAAGTTTCTGAAGCCCCATGAAAATCAAGGGATCATTTAATTCGTCTAAAGGTTCACCCAGGACTTGCACACCATTTCTAGGAAAGAAAATACGCCCAGGCACATTTTCAGTTATACGGCTTCCATTGTAGTAATAATGATTTAAAAAATTCTATTTTAGAATTTTAAAATATCATTTCACTCTCGTGAACTTTATGATTTTTTTTTATCTAGACTTAATCCAAAGTGAGCTGATCAAGGTAGTATTCTCATATTGGCATTGGAACCCTTTCCAGAATCCTGGGAGAGTTCTGGGAGAGATTTCTGAAACTAGACCTTATATGGCCTCCTTTCTGGACCAGGAAATGGGATTTTTATTAGGTACACCCTCCTTTCCTGTGAGAGGTAGATGGACCCTTTTCTGCCTAGTTACAAGTGCCTTATTCCTGAGGGACGCATGAATGATTACATCTTAAGTTCTTCCACATGAATGATGTAGGGGTTTTTTCTGACCAGACTGAGTTTCTCTCTGGAGATGGGGGGATTGTTTCTAGGTTACTTCAAAGAGCTTCCTTTATCTCTTCAAAGCAGCACAACTTCCACTTAGGACTATATAAAATTAATTTTTGTTTTCTGTAGGGAATAAAGAACATGAAGCTGTAAAACTGTAACCTTTTTCAGTTAGCTCATAAATTCAGACCAGCTTCTACATTTCAAAAATCTTATGTAGGCCCTTGAACTATCTAACAGGTTGACAAAAAGATCTTAGCATTTTTGTCCTAGGCTTTGAAGATTATATTTCTACAACAAAATAACTAGGACTTTTCTTAAAACCAACTTACTTTGTAAAAGTAGAAAATTTCATTTCTCTTGGGTAGTTCAAAGGTACATGTATTATTTGTCATATATATATATATATTCTGTTAGGAAGTCCCAACTGGTGATATTTTAGGTCCTCTCTTCAATTCTAAGTGAAAATCTTAGAATCTTTTATAAGGTTATGGAGAATTTTTGATGTCTAGGAAGCCCCATATTCTTGGGAGGTGATAATATATTAAATTTGTTTAGCTCTTTTATTTTGTGCAGTTCTTCCGCAAATATTCTTTTACTTTATCCTTGTAGTAATTTATGCTCCTGTTTTTATTCATTTATGAATGTTCACTCCTACAAATTTTCTCAAATAAAACATTTCTCTTTTGAATATCATTTCTTTTCCATTGCAATAATGGTTTGTTTTTGTGATGATGGCAATAGTGATATATTAAAAAAAAAAGAAAAGAAAGAAAATAGTGATTTATAAATTAAGACATACTACATCAGAATTTATACAATAAATAGTACTTTCATAAAAAGAATCTCTTTTTTTAAAAAAATATTTTATTTATTTATTTATTTGACAGAGATAGCACAAGTAGGCAGAGCTGGCAGGCAGAGGGAGAAGGAGAAGCAGGATCTCCACTGAGCAGGGAGTCTGATGTGGGGCTCGATCCCAGGACTCTGGGATCATGACCTGAGCTGAAGGCAGAGGCTTAACCGACTGAGCCACCCAGGTGCCCCCATAAAAAGAATCTCTTGAACAGAAACAGATGATACATATATTATGATGGCAAAATACTATAAATACCTCTTTATATTTCCATAATAATCCTTGGCCAAATAATGAATATTAGTGGCTTGTAAGTATAAATGTAAAAAACAAAACAAAACTGTAAATTGTTATTATTAGCCCTCTTTGTTTAATTATTTCCCTATTCATCAACTTTTTAATTATTTTCAAAACTATTCATACAGTAAAGTACTTGGTATTTAGTTTTATGAGTTTTAACACAATTATTAATGTAGCACTGTTAAAACAGTAAAATTCTTAAAACTGATACTTGTTTTTCAATCTCAAGATAGTTTATAAAAGGATAACATTCTACTTTTTCAGAAAAAAAAGGAACACACACAAAAATAACACATTGTCAGGACAGCTGGGTGGCTTAGTTGTTTAAGCATCTGCCTTTGTTTAAGCATCTGCCTGCTTCTCCCTCTCCCTCTGCTGCTTCCCCGCTTGTGCTTGTGTTCTCTCTGTCAAATAAATAAGTAAAATCTTTTAAAAAACAAAAAAGAAATAACAACAAAAAATAATTGTCATGATATATGATTTATAGTATTTATTTTTTAATGTGTCTTTCCAATAAAAGTTTAACACAGGACTGTAACACAAAGCAGTCACTTAAAATTGGAGAAAAGCTGATGTTTATATCTAGAATTTAGAGAGAATTAACTTGAACTGTAATACTACCAAGCAATAAATGAAATGTACAAACCAATGACCTGAAATCCATTTATGCTGACTAAAATTGTTTCCCCACCTATTAACATTCATAATTTTCTTATTGTTTGAAAAGGCAGAGCATACAAGTTGCATTTATTTGACCTCAAGGATACTAATTCTGTTTCAATAGAGTTCATATTCTGGAAGTGAGTTTCAAAATGTAGCAGCCAATTCTGAAATGTAATCAACCTGTTGTGTTTGAGGTGTGCGTTTAATGGAAATGATCGAAGTATCCAGCTTTGATAAGTGTAATAATGACAATCTAGTGTTAAAGAATTTCATTCATGCATGCTTCCTTTTTTTTTTTCTCTTTTAAGAAACAGGCAGAGTAGAATTAATTATTATTTAAGAGATTATTTACATTTAATTTATTGGAAGCCATTTTCCCCCTGGAGATGGTTAGAACTTCCTGCATAAAATTGAAAAATTATTATTATTTTTTTAAAGATTTTTATTTATTTATTCGACAGAGATCACAAGTAGGCAGAGAGGCAGAAAGAGAGGGGGAAGCAGGCTCCCCGCTGTGCAGAGAGCCCGACAGATTGGCTCGATCCCAGGACCCTGAGATCATGACCTGAGCCAAAGGCAGAGGCTTAACCCACTGAGCCACCCAGGCGCCCCCCCCAAAATTATTTTTTAATTATGAGGTATTTCAAAGGTATAGACAATTAAAGACAATAATATGACAAACAACTACATATTCAGCATCCAGCTTTTAACAGATGTTAATATTTTCATAGACTAACATTTAGGAATAAAATTAAATGTAGGCTCAGTAAGGAAACTGTGAGTTTCAGATTATGAGGAGACTATTGGCCAACCAGTGTACTTGCTGGCTTTTCAGCTACCTAAAATCACATAATAGCTGGCAGATTCCTTAGGTAAGGTAAGAAAAACATTGTGTATGGAAATGGATCCTAACTTAGGAAAGAAATTCTTAAAATCTTTAAATAGTAAATGTCCCATTTTTTCAGTTTGTTTCAAATTGCTTAACTCACTTTAACTGGTTATCTCCTATTTGGACTTGCTTATTAGCTAGAGTCCTTTTCCAGGTTTGGTAGATCTGGAGAGCCAACTTTGACAGGAAGAAATGGTAAAAGGGGGTAGCCCCATTGGTACACGGAATGTGGCTAGAATTCATAGACCAACAGTGTTTGCTCTAAGCTATTGGGTATTCCCAAACCAAATGGCATTAAGTTATTTTGTGGATGTTTTTTTAAATATTCTTAAGTTACAAAAGAAATAGATATTTATTGTAAAAAATACAAATTAACATACAGAAAAAAAAAATCACCTGTAATCCCACTGTAAACATTTGTTCTATGTTGTTCTATACTTCCTGTCCATTTTTTTTTTAAAGATTTTATTTATTTATTTGTCAGAGAGAGAGAGGGAGAGAGAGCAAGCACAGGCAGACAGAATGGCAGGCAGAGGCAGAGGGAGAAGCAGGCTCCCTGATGAGCAAGGAGCCCGATGTGGGACTCGATCCCAGAATGCTGGGATCATGACCTGAGCCGAAGGCAGCTGCTTAACCAACTGAGCCACCCAGGTGTCCCACTTCCTGTCCATTTTAAGGCATATACGTATTGTTTATTTTTATGAAAATAGATTTTGTAACCTAATGGTATCACCACCTAATATATTGAGAATGTATTTCCATGCCATAGATACTCTTCTGCATTCTGTTTGTTTGTTTGTTTGTTTGTTAGTTTGTTTGTTTTTTTTTTAAAGATTTTATTTATTTATTTGACAGACAGAGATCACAAGTAGGCAGAGAGGCAGGCAGAGAGAGAGGAAGGGAAGCAGGCTCCCTGCCGAGCAGAGAGCCCGATGCGGGACTCAATCCCAGGACCCTGAGATCATGACCTGAGCCGAAGGCAGCGGCTTAACCCACTGAGCCACCCAGGCGCCCTGTTAGTTTGTTTTAAGTAAACTCTACCACCAATGTGGGTCTTAAACCCATGACTCAGATCAAGAGTAACATGCTCTACCCACTGAGTCAGCCAGGTGCCTGTGCATTCTCATTTTTTATTTCTTCATTTTTTTTTTTAAAGATTTTATTTATTTGACACAGAGAGAGAGATCAGTCACAAGCAGGAGGAGTGGCAGAGGGAGAGGGAGAGGGAGAAGCAGGCTCCCCGCTGAACAAGAAGCTAGATGATGTGGGGCTCTATCCCAGAACCCCAGGATCATGACCTGAGATGAAGGCAGACACTTAACTGACAGAGCCATCCAGGCGCCCCACAAGATGAACATTTTTTAGTGAATATTTCTAAATTGCCTTTTAGAAGGTTGGATTGAGGTCCTTTCAAGTTGCATTTTTTAAGTAAATAACTAATAGAATTGCTGCAAAAGTAGTTTAAAAAGTTAGAATGATTATTTTTATGTTCAAGATGATATGTTTATTTCTTATAGGGTCACAAGATGCTGCTCATGATCTGGATACCCTGAAAAAGTACAAGGTAAAAAAAAAATGCTTCAGATCTGGCACGATGTATAGGAAGTATTTTAATTGTTACACTTATTTAGGAAACTGTTAGTCAATATCAGACTTGGGTTTTTTTTAGATTTATTTATTTATTTTTAGAGAGGGAGAGCACAGGGAGGGGCAGAGGGACAGGGAGAGAAACTTAAGCAGACTCCTCACTGAGCTTGGATGTGGGGCTTGATCTCAAGACTCTGAGATTGTGACCTGAGCTAAAACCCAGGAGTCGGATGCTTCGTTGACTGCACCACCCGGGGCCCCCATTTCAGAGTTTAATTGGTAACATTTTTGGCTGTCATTTTAATAAAGTTGCAACAATTATTGTACCTAATTAAAATACGTGGATTTATAATGTCTTTCCAATTTTATATTCTCTGTCTCCCTTCATGTATTCTTATGAACCTGATTTTGAAGCATGTCTTCTTACCTCTGTTTGTGTAGTTCCTTTATGTAGGATAGACTTTCGTCTTCTTTTCTTGTCCAAGACCTACCCATGCCCGAGTCCCAACTCACATATCACTTCTTCCCCAATGCCGTCTTCTCCCACTCTCAACTATGTAATTTATTACTTATTTCGGAATTTACTAAAACAATTTCAGCCATCTATTTTGTCAAACAGTATTTCAGCATCATGGAATTGCTATGGTTTGTAGAATGCAAGAGGTTTTTAGTTAACATGAAGCTTATGATTTGAGGGGCATAGAGGGGAGAAAGACAAATAAGCAGCTTTAGTCCAGTGTATTTTGTGCTTTAATGGGGAAATGCAAGTGCTGTTGCAGAGCATATGAGATGATGCCCTTTGCCCATGTTTGTTTGGGTTGGGTTGAGGATTGTAAGATCAGGGAAATCTTCCTGGAGGGAATGATACTGAAGTTTGCTCAGAACGGGATGGGGAGGGAGCAGACAGAAAAGTGTTCAGTTAGGAGAAATGCTTTGTGTGAAGGTCTAGAAGAGAAAGGTCAGTGCTTTCAGAGACAGGGAAAAAAAAAAAGTTCAGGGGCACCTGGGTGACTCAGTCGTTAAGCGGCTGCCTTTGGCTCAGGTCTTGATCCTAGGGTCTTGGGATCAAGCCCCATGTCAGGCTCCCTGCTCAGCAGGAAGCCTTCCTCTCTCTCTCACCCCCCTGCTTGTATTGCCTCTTCCTATCTCGCTTTCTTTCTGTCAAATAAATAAAATCTTTAAAAAAAATTTTTTTCTAAAAAAAAAAAAAAAGTTCAGTAACCCAGGAATTAGAGAGTGAGAAAGAAGGATACCAAGAAACAAGGCCAGACAGGTAAGCAAGAGTAAGATCATTAAAGTCCACGTAAACCAGAGTAAATGCTTTGGACTTTTCCAGAAGTCTTTGAAATTCCTTACCCAGGGGAGTAATAGGATCAGATTTGCAGTTTGAAAGATTCTTGTCAGAGGCATTGTGGAAAATAAATTGGAGTGTTGCAGAAACTAGTGTGGGGAAACTAAGTTAGGGGGCAGTTGTAGTAACTGTTATGACTGCCTGACATTAGAGATAATGGCCTGGAATTGCATATGGTTATGAGAATTACTGTATCTCCTAATAGAATCCATCTTAGATTAATATTTTAACATAAGTAGAATAAGTTTCAAAGTCTTGCTTACACTAATAAGTTAATATTTCTCAAGGAAAAAATGAAAAATAGAAAAACTAATAAGTTCATTCATTGGCAAATGTTTTGTGATCTATCCCCTCTTAGGGTACACCAATTCAAATTTGCTTTCACCCTGGTGATGTGAATCAAGCAGCTGTTTAAAAGATCCCTCTGGGGGCATCTGTTGGTTGATCGCTCTGTTGGCTCACTTGGTTAAGCGGCTGCCTTTGGCTCGGGCTGTGATCCCAAAGTCCTGAGATTGAGCCCCATGTTGGGCTCCCTGCTCAGCAGAGAGCCTGGTTCTTCATTTCCTTCTGTTTGCTGCTCTGCCTGCTTGTGCTATCTATCTCTCTGTCAAACAAATAAATAAATAACAATTTTAAAAATTAAATAAAAGATCCCTCTGTCTCTGTACACGTGACCCTGTTAGAGGCCTAAAAGAAGCAGAGGTAAACTGAGCACCTAAGTAGAGGGTTTATTGAAAAATTTAGTGATTTGGCAAAACTAGATTATTCATTTAAATGCATGGCACATTTCAAAGGGATATTCTAGGACTTAAGTAAAGTGCTATAATTAATAGAAATTCTCTTGTGGAGGATCATTTCAGAAATTTCATTTTAATGTTTGGGTATAGTAATAGTAGTTGTTTTATTGGTAAGGTATCCAAGTGCCTGGTGTGTGCCCTATAAAGTACTGTGAAAGATGGAAAGCTGAGTATAACATAAAATGTTCCAAGTTACTTATTGCTGCATTGTTCATAATAGCAAATCATTGGAAACAACCTACGTGTTCATTCATAGTGAACTGTTTAAATAAACAATAGTGTACTCACACCCTAGAATACAGTATAGCTATATAAAAGAACATCAGGAGAAGGGTCTGTAAATACTGATATGAAAAAATCTCCAGGATAAATTTAAGTGAGAGGGGAACCCAAGGTGTTGCCTTTGTGTAAGAAAGGGAATAAATTCTTTGCCTAAAGATGCTCTAAAAGATATACAGAAAACCAACAAAGGTGGTTACCATTAAGGTGGGAGATAATGGAGTAGATTGGGACGTGGTGAGAGCAAGATTTCTTTATGTTTCTTTTTTATAATGTTCTGATTTTTTTAATCATTTTCAATATATGAGATTTATTAAAATTGGAAGTAAGAATGCCTAAATGTGAGGATTAAGTGAGATAACTTACATGCCTGGCACATATTAGGTTCTTGATAAGGGGCTATTACTATCCCTATTGCAGAAGGCTTCCCAAGAGCAATCATTGTTAGGACCTCTGTAACTACATTTTGGAAGTGTGCTTAAAAGGGGTTTTAGACTGGGGCACCTGGGTGGCTCAGTGGGTTAAGCCTCTGCCTGCAGCTCGGGTCGTGATCTCAGGGTCCTGGGATCGAGTCCCACATCAGGCTGTCTGCTTGGCGGGGAGCCTGCTTCCCCTCTCTCTCTGCCTGTCTCTCTGCCTACTTGTGATCTCTCTCTGTCAAATAAATAAAAAAAAAATAAAAATCTTAAAAAAAAAAAAAAAAAGAAAGAAAGGGTTTTAGACTGGATGCCTATCACCACCACCACCTGTGACTCAGTACAATTCTTTTTAATCAGAACTAATCAATACACATGTAAACTGCATTTCCCAGCAGCTAAACTCCCCAGGTATTGGTAATCCACAATATTTGTAAAGCACTTTTACTTTTCAGCAGGTTTTCCCAAGGTTGTCATTTTGTTTTCTCCATAATCCTGTGAAGATCTATAGATAGTGAGAGATGTGTGTGTTTGCGCTTGTGCATATATATATTATATATATATATATATATGTATATGCATATGAATACATCCACATATAAAATTCCTCATTCCTGGTTTTTTGGGAATGTACAATACAGTTGTAAAGACAAGGCCAACACATCAATAATGGAAAACATTGGAAGCTGTTATATAATTAAGGGCAGAATCATAATATGCTGGTGGTCAGAAGTATACTGGCTGTGAGTGACTTGACATAGATAGGACTTCACTGGGGAAAACAGGAAGACATTTCAGACTTTATCTTCTAAAAATATTTTTACCTTTCTTTCTAGTTTCTCCTCCTTATTTAAGAGTCTTTCTTGGGGCGCCTGGGTGGCTCAGTGGGTTAAGCCTCTGCCTTCGGCTCAGGTCATGGTCTCAGGGTCCTGGGATCGAGTCCCACATCGGGCTCTCTGCTAGGCAGGGAGCCTGCTTCCTCTTCTCTCTCTCTCTCTCTCTGCCTGCCTCTCTGCCTACTTGTGATCTCTCTCTGA